CGGGCGCGTCTCTCCGCAGGAGGGACGCGCGAGGACAGCAGCAACAATCGTCGGGCGACGATGCTCCGAGCATTTCAATCGCATGGGGCCTGCGTCGGGCACGTCTCTCCGCAGGAGGGACGTGCGAGGACAGCAGCAACAATCGTCGGGCGACGATGCTCCGAGCAGTTTCAATCGCATGGTGCCTGCGTCGGGCACGTCTCTCCGCAGGAGGGACGTGCGGGGGCAGCGGCAGCAATCGTCGGGCGACGATGCTCCGAGCAGTTTCAATCGCATGGGGCCTGCGTCGGGCACGTCCCCGAAGGAGGGGCGTGCGAGGATAGCAGCAACAATCGTCGGGCGACGATGCTCCGAGCAGTTTCAATCGCACGGGGCCTGCGTCGGGCGCGCTTCCCCGCAGGAGGGCCGCGCGAGGATAGCAGCAACAATCGTCGGGCGACGATGCTCCGAGCAGTTTCAATCGCATGGGGCCTGCGTCGGGCACGTCTCCCCGCAGGAGGGCCGCGCGAGGACAGCAGCAACGATCGTCGGGCGACGATGCTGCGAACAATTTCAATCGCATGGGGCCTGCGTCGGGCACGTCTCTCCGCAGGGGGGACGTGCGAGGACAGCAGCTCCGCAGGAAGGACGTGCGAGGACAGCAGCAACAATCGTCGGGCGACGATGCTCCGAGCAGTTTCAATCGCATGGGGCCTGCGTCGGGCACGTCTCTCCGCAGGAGGGGCGTGCGAGGATAGCAGCACAAATCGTCGGGCAACGATGCTCCGAGCAATTTCAATCGCATGGGGCCTGCGTCGGGCGCGTCTCTCCGCAGGAGGGACGTGCGAGGACAGCAGCAACAAACGTCGGGCGACGATGCTCCGAGCAGTTTCAATCGCATGGGGCCTGCGTCGGGCACGTCCCCGAAGGAGGGGCGTGCGAGGATAGCAGCAACAATCGTCGGGCGACGATGCTCCGAGCAATTTCAATCGCATGGGGCCTGCGTCGGGCACGTCTCTCCGCAGGAGGGACGTGCGAGGACAGCGGCAACAATCGTCGGGCGACGATGCTCCGAGCAGTTTCAATCGCATGGGGCCTGCGTCGGGCACGTCTCTCCGCAGGAGGGACGTGCGAGGATAGCAGCAAAAATCGTAGGGCGACGATTTTCCGAGCAGTTTCAAGCACACGGGGCGATTTTTGCTGTCTCTTGTCCAAGGTTCCTCCTTACTCCGCAGGGGGGGATGTGGCGACCCCCGGTCGCCCATTCCTTGCCGACTCCGCCCACCAGTTGGCCCTGATCGCTGACCACTTTGCAGCGCGTCGCCGATTCCAAGTCGATATTTCCCCCCCGAGCTAGACGCCCCCTATCTCCCCCCCCCCCGCCCCACGCCTTCCGGTCTAAGAGCCGTGGAACGTTCGGGGGGAAGGAGCTGGTCAGTGGGGGAGGGGCCAGGGGCTCCCGGGGACCGCCATCTTGACCGGGGATGCGTAATATTCAAGTTCGCACGAACTCGGGCTTGTCGACGTTGTTTGACCGGCCCGTCTTCGATTTTGACGGTCCTGCAGCAGGAGTTCGCGTCAAATGAAAGATTGGGTCTTGTCTTTTTTTCTGACGGCCTCGTCAGACCAATCCGAGTCCCCCGAGCCTCACCTTTTCCCGAAACGGGGACGCGGGAGGGTCAGTTGAAGGTAAGGACAGAAATTCGGGGTGCGGGGGGAGGGGAGGCGGAGGAGGAAGAGGGGAGGGGAGGAACAGGAGGAAGAGAAGGACGGGAGCAGGGGGGGGATAATTGGGGGATGATGCAGAAAAGTATGCGATGGATGAGAACGAGAAGGAGGGAGGTGGGGCGAGATGGGAAAAGGGAGTGGGAGAGGTCTATTGCTCTGGACAGTTCAGGAAGGTCGCTCATGGATGCCTTGGTTTCCTGCCACCAGCAAGACCCTTTGCTTCGTCATCGCGTGAGCCACTCGTCCTTGAAAACGGTCCCCGCTGTCGGGGCCCTCCAGACTCTCCCTGGCGCGTCGCTGTCCCATCCATGCCCTCCCCCAGCTGGAGGAGGGCATGGATGGGGGGCGACCAAGAAAAGGGGTTAGAGTGGGGGTCCATGCCAAGAAACACCCTGCTTGCTTCCAGGGTGCTCTGGGTTTCTTGGGTGTCGATGGTTTTGCTGTGGAAGGCGTGACGTTCCCACACCAAAATAAATGGACGTCCTGGGGTCTCAGGGCTGGGTTTCTTGTGGAAGGTTTCTTGTTGTCGGGCCACAACTGTATGACTAGGGGTGGGTATCATGGCCAGGGCCATGATATCTGCCCAGATTTCACGGCCCCCCCCAATCATCTCAGTACGTCCCCTGGGTCCCCCAGGGCAGGGCACGTACCTCCAGCCATGATCTGCGAAACCATCTGGGACGCCCCCGATCGTCCTCGTCCGCATGTTCCTGCTGTGTTTCTTCATTCCCCATGTCCACCTCCGCGCTTTGATCAGTCGGCGGCGAAATCCGAAGCCTACCTTCGCCGATCATCGATTCGGGCAACTCGATGGGCGGCGGGGGTAGGGTTCAGAATGCGTCGAGCACGTGGCGAAATCTGAACACGACCCCCGCCTCCTATCGATTCAGGAGTGCCGCTGGATGGCGGGGGTAGGGCTCGGATGCCGCCACCAAGGGGGGAGGGCGCCAGCTCCCAGAGATCCCTGAGTGACCCTCGTCCGAGCTTATCCTCACCCTGGGATCTCGGGCCGATGGCGCTCTCCCCCCCCGCCGTGATCTCTGGGAGCTCGTCATCGCCCTGGCATCTCTGGTGTGTCTCCGGGAGGCGAACGGAGGCGAGGAGGACGAGGGGAGGGCGCCAGCCCCCAGAGATCCCAGAGCCTAGCATCACCCCGCCCCCGCCTCACCGCCCGCCCCTCGCCCTCCCCGCCTCCGTCCACCTGCCCCGCCTCCTCCTCGCCCTCCTCGCCCTCGGGAGGAGGAGGAGGGCGACGCGGAGGAGGAGGAGGGCGACGCGAGGCGAGGCGAGGCGAGGCGCGCAGGCCCGCGGGAGCGGGGGACCCTTGAGGGCTAGCGCGGGGGAGCTGGGAACCCTCATGCTGTGACATCGGCGCCCACATCATACCGTGATTCCGACGAGGAGGAGGAGGAGGAGGAGGAGGACCAGTGTAAACCCAGTATTCATTAACGATGTTGAAATACACCTTCCCTCCAAGGTCCCTCTTCACAGGCCCCTGCAAGGGGTCATTTCCACTGAGGGAAGTGCACTGTTGGGGGACAGCCGTGTAAACATCTTGAAGCGTGCCAAAACACCTTTCTCAGGTTATCAACGCCACGAGTAATGAACCTGACTGCCACGTCTTGGAGATCCTGAATCGTGCCTGAACAGCATTCCTGGGACCTCAACACCGCGAATCAACGTAACTTCTGCGCCCTGACAAGCCTGAATCGTTCCAGAACATCATCTATGGTGAGCTACCGAGGAGAAGCAGTGAAACTCGTGCAAGTGTTCAAGACGAATGTGCGCGGGGCTAAGGCGACAGCCATAGTTTGAAGACGACCCGCCCTCCATCCGTGAAGCTCTTGCAATTTTCGAAAACGAATGTGCGCGGCGCTAGGGCAAGAACCACATTTTGAAATTGACCCGTCCTCAATGTTTCAATCTCTTGCAACTGTTTAGAAGGAATCTGCGCGGCGCTCAGGCGAGAGCCACATTTTGCAAACCACCCGCCCTCCATGTGCGAAACTGTTGTCAACTTTTAAGCTTGAGGCTCATAGATGGGGAGGAGGTGTCAGGCGAAACGCCCGGCCCGCTGTTTCGTCCGGCCTCGGGGTGTGGCAGAGTGGAGCTATCTGTAAGGAAAAGGAATGGGGCACGAGCCTTCCGCTCAATTTGTAGGCCGTGTGCCTAAGCCGGTGTCGTTTTTACAGTTTGCCGCGTTTTTTTATGTTAAATGAACGCACCAGCCGCGTCACTTACGCTTGTCTAGCGTGTAAGTAAGGAGGAGGAGGAGGAGGAGGAGGAGGAGGAGGAGGAGGAGGAGGAGGAGGGAGGGGCACGAAGGCAAGGAGGGCGAACTGATCCTCGCCCCGCTTGGACGACATGGGATTACTCCAGTCTGGGGCAACTTCGGTGTTCGGCCCCCGACGCGCACGAGCCAGGGAACCATCCCTGCCCATCCCTGGCCTCGATGCTTCGGGAGTTGCTGGACGCCCGAGTTGTGCGGGGCAACTCCAGTCCGGAGGAATTCCGATCTGGGCCCCCGAGGTACCACCAAGGAATTGCGTCGGTCGCAAATCATTGGGGCCTCGTGTATTGTCGTGGTTGCGGTGTGAGAGTACCCCAGCGCGCTAGCGTCGGTCAGCGAATGGTATTCGATGAGATAGCGCCGGTTTAGCGCCGATAAGCCTCGATGTTTAGTCGATCAACGTCGACTTGTATCGATTCGCAAGAGCCAACAAGAAGATATGGGAGGCTCCCGTGAGGTGCCGCTGAAAACTACCCCTGACCACCCCCAGCCCTATACCATCTTGCTGGCCCATGCGAATCGACGCTAAGCGGCGCTAATCGACGAATCGTCGACGCTAAATCGGCGCCATCTCATCGATTACCAGATGCTAACCAAAGCTAGCGCATCTTAAAACGGAAGTGCGAGGCTGTACAAGGCTCCCACGAATTGCCGCCGAAAATTGCCCCTGACCACCCCCAGCCCCTGATGTGATCAGAGGGGACGAGGCGGAGGTGAGGGACGACGGAGGAGAAGGAGGGGGAGGAGGAGTGGGATCGGGAGGAGGACGAACGGGAGGAGGAGGTGGAGGAGGAGGAGGAGGAGGACGATCGGGAGGAGGAGGAGGAGGAGGACGATCGGGAGGAGGAGGAGGAGGAGGACGGAGTGGAGGAGGTGGAGGAGGTGGAGGAGGAGGAGGAGGAGGAGGCGGAGGAGGAGGAGGAGGATGGGGGGAGGCCGACGAGGATCCGCAGCTCCGACCCGCGCCGCCGCGCCGCCGCCCCTCCCCCCCCGTCCCCTGCAGGTCCCCGAGTGGCGGCGCGGCGCCGAGCCCCAGCGGGGTCCCAGGCAGGCCCAGCCGCGGGCCCGCCGGGGGCAGCGCGGTCGGGCGGGGTCCGTCGTCGTCGCTCCGCCGGCAGCCCGAGGCAGCCTTCGGTCGAATCTCGGGAGGGCTGGATCCAGCTCCAGTACATCAGGAGCAGGAAGAGGTGCCCATACCTCTGCCCTCCCCTCTTTCTCCCCGCTGTCGGGCCTCCTGGGAGGCCCTCGTCGCCAGCGTTGGATTCGCCTCGAAATTCTGGTCAGAGCGCACCCCAGGAGAGGTCCGGGGAGTAATTAGCCTTGATCACCAGAATGGAGCAGTGGCGAAGCGTCTTGGCTTTCCTATAGGCCCACCAAGCAATGTTCTAAGAACTTGTTCGTGGTCTGCACGAAATGTTCTGAGAACATTTCTGAGATGGTTGCTTACGTTCTGAAAACAGTTTTTTGTTATTCGAACATTGTTGGATTCTAAGATCATTTCATGGTAGGCCTATAGGAATGCCAGCACGGTCGTTCCCTGTTCAAATATCAGGATGTTCCAACCTACTTTGACCTTGATCACCAGGAAGAATTGCAAGCACCAAGAAAGCACCGAAACTGGAGGGTTTTCACGCGTCGGGCCCTGGGAGGCGATACTCGTTCGACACTGTTTCGATACCTTTCCGGGTGCTCGGCATTATTTCTTGGATGTGGTCTTTACGCGCGATGAGAGCAACATAATTTCAACAAAACAGTATGAGGGCTGGATTCAGCTCTAGTATCATAGGGAAGCAACCACTGACATGACCATATCAACTCGGAGGTCCGCCTGGATTTCGTGGATCGGCGCTGGGCCCCCCTCCCTGGCGCGCGGAGCGCGCCAGGGGCGGCGCGAAGGCGCCGATCCAAGAAATCTGCGCGGAACTCCGAGTTGTTGATGTGTATTTCATTGTTCCTTCACTTATAAAACCATATGACGGCTCGATCCAGCTCTAATATAATCCTGCTAGCGTTCGGTCCACTTTCGATCGTCAATCGCATCCCACTAGGGCTCGATCGTCGTCGTTGTCGTCGTCGTAGTCGCGGTCGTGGTCGTGGTCGTGGTCGTCGTCGTCGGCGTCGTCGTCGTCGGCTGCAGCGTCGTCGTCATCGGCGGGGGCGTCGTCCGCCCTGTCGTCGTCGGCGTCGACGTCGTGCGGAGTCGTCGGCAGCGGAGAGCTCGCCGTCCTCGGTCCGTCGGCAGTTACGCGTCCCTTCCCACGGGGGGGCTGCGCCGAGAGCGCGAATGCGATTCGCCGCGCCTTCGATGTCTGTTCACGGGAGCCTTGGGCGGCGACAGAGAAATCAGCTTCTCCCGCATTCACACCGCATTTGGCCTTCCGCCTGCTCCTCCTCGCCCCTCCTGTTGCTCCACCCTCTCCTCGTTCTTCTCGTCTCCCTTGTGAAAGGGTCGAAACTGGTCCAAATCCGGTCCCAAATGTGTTCCGAATCCAGTCCAAATCAGGTCCGAATTTATCAGAGCCGGGGGCCTCGTAGGCTCCCATGGAACGGACACCCAAGGTAAGCGCACGTCCCTCCCCACGCAGGGACCGCCCCGATAGCCCAAACGCGCATCGCCGCGCCGACCCAGATCTCCAAGAGACTGTGGGGCCGCCTCGAGCGAGGAGGTCGGGTCATCGGCCGGCCCCGCCCCTCACAGCTCGGTGGGACGGGCCCGCCGTCCTCGTTCCGTCGGCAGGTGCGCGTGCCTGCCCTCGGCACGGACGGCATGGGTACACCTTAGGCGATGCTTAAGAAAACCTAAGTTTTCGGCCAGAGTCTCGATAATTCTTAATGTTTCAATGTAGATCCTAAGATTTGAATAGACATTCTGGATGTTGATTCAAATTCTGAGACTATGAATTTCTTAACCCATGATTTCTAAAGCATTTCGCAGGGTGTACGGAGTGAATGGGTACGGAGATCGAGAGCAGTTCCTGACCATGCTCGCTGTCGGCGTCGCCGCGGGCGGTGTGCATTCGAGAAAGCTCGCTTGCCCAGCAGCGGCCGCTGTCAGCTTGGGACATTCTTTGCTGCTGGGCATCGTGCCTATTTGTGAAGGCCTGAAAGACGGTGCCGCCGACCCAGAAGGACGACGACGACCACGACGACAACCACAACGGAGAGTTGAGTGAGGAGGAGGAGTGGGAGGAGGAGGAGGAGGAGGAGGAGGAGGAGGAGGAGGAGGAGGAGGAGGAGGAGGAGGAGGAGGAGTGGGAGGGGGAGGAGGAGGAGGAGGAGGAGGAGGAGGAGGAGGAGGAGGAGGAGGAGGAGGAGGAGGAGGAGGAGGAGGAGGAGGAGGAGGGGGAGGAGGAGGAGGAGGAGGAGGAGGAGGAGGAAGGAGGAGGAGGAGGAGGAGGAGGAGGAGCAGGGGGAGGGGGTGGAGAGAAGGAGGAGGAGGAGGAGAAGAAGAGGGGATGGAGGGGGAGGGGAAGGGGAGGAGGAGGAGGAGGAGGAGGAGGAGGAGGAGGAGGAGAGGAGAGGAGGAGGGAGGAGGAGGAGGAGGAGGAGGAGGAGAGGAGAGAGGAGGAGGAGGAGAGGGAGGAGCAGGGAGGAGGGAGGAGAAGGAGGAGGAGGAGGAGAGGAGGAGGAAGGAGGAGGAGGAGGAGGAGGAGGAGGAGGGGGAGAGAGGAGGAGGAGGAGGAGGAGGAGAACCCGTCTGCCCCCTCGGAGGCGGGCGTCTGGGAGGCGAAACCGACCTGAAAAAAGCCCTGCGGTGGGTGGGTCACAACTCCAGGTAACCCCCGGGGACCCCCCCCAGGACCCCCCCCCCCAAGACCACCCCTCAGGACCCCCCCTGGGACCCCAGCCCGCGGGGAATGGACAAAGGGAAGGGGTTTCCTTTCTTCGATCCCCCTTGTTCGATCTCCCTTCCGCCGACGACAACGACTTAGATGAGGCTGGCGTATTCAAGTTTCGGTTGGGCAGGCCTCGCGTCGAAGGGCCTCTCACACGCCGACTGGGTCGGTGGATTTCTTCCGCTTCTGAAGACCTCGGCGGAAAACGACAACGACGACGACGATGACGACGACGACGACGACGACGACGACGACGACCGCCGCCAGGAACGGAAAGGGCAAGGACGTCGCTGGCGGGGACCGGGTGATGAGCTTCGAGAACTTGGACGACATGTACATCGACTTCTTGATGAAAGAGGGGCGCGCCTCCTCGCGCGTCTCAACCAGACGTAAGATTGACCTTCCGCCGGAGTGACCCATGGTGCGCGCCCACTGGGGTCCCGCGATCGCCGAGCACTGTGCGGCAGTAGCGTCTTGCGCGCTTGTGCTTCGACCCCCCGCGGCCCCCAAACAGCCGCGCACCAAAGGTCACTCTTGCCCACAGTAGGGAGCCACATGCGAACCCTACCCCTACCCCCCACGATTTCTGAGGGGGAGGGTTGGGTTAGGGTTCGCATGTGGCCCCCTACACAGGTCACTCCTGCCCACAGGTCACTCTTGCGCCTCCTCGAACGCCCTCCCCCTCCTCGAGGGGCTGCAGCTCTGGGACGTGTGTGGCCTGGGGCGGCGGCCTCGTCGTCTCGGCCGGAGCCGCCTCGGGATTCCCTGGCCGGAGCGCACCCCAGGGAGCTCCACTTCTCCCCCTCCTCCTCCTCCTGCTCCTCCTCCTGCTCCTCCTTCTCCTCCTCGTCCTCCTCCTCCTCCTCCCCCTCCCCCTCTTCCTCCTCCCCCTCTTCCTCCTCCTCCTCCCCCCCCCTCCCCCTCTTCCCCTCCCCTCCCCCTCCTCCTCCTCCTCCTCCTCCTCCCCCTCCTCCTCCTCTTCCCCTCCCCTCCCCCTCCCCCCTCTCCCCCCTCCTCCTCCTCCCCTCCTCGCCCATCTCCCCCCCCCCCTCCTCCTCCTCCTCCTCCTCCTCCTCCTCCTCCTCCTCCTCCTCCTCCTCCTCCTCCTCCTCCTCCTCCTCCCAGGGTCGACTTGAACGCCAGAAGCCTGGACCTCGGGCTTAACGGACACCGCACGATGTCGTCCGTGTTTCTCCTTGTCTTGGCCTTTGGAGTCCCGTTCCAGAAGCGCTTTGGCCATCGAGGCGGGCACAGAGACAGAGACTGGTCTCCCGGTAGTGGGGTGGGGAGCCCCGAGGAATCCCGACGCCCTGCGGTTTGGTTAGCTCCCTCCCCAGCCCCGTCTTGTTCTCCCTATGTCCGGCGCCTCATCCTGAGTCCTGGTGTGACAATCGTGTTGTTTCTCTCCCTCTCAGTCAGTCTGCCTGTCTATGTCTAGGATGTTTATGTATATATGTATATATTTATATCAATATATGTAGACCAAATTATCTCTCTATATATGCACAAATGCACACACATATAATACAAAACGGTATACTGTTGTACCGATCTTGTGTTAGATCATTATACATTTCTCTATATATCGCCATGCTGGTTCTATATATATGTGTGTTTGTCCCTCTATCTCTCGCATTCTCTCTCCCTCTCTCGCTCTGTGTCTTGCTTGTTGTTCTCTCTCTCTCTCTCTCTTTTTTTTTCTCTCTCTCTCTCTCTCTCTCTCCTGAAACTCGTGAAGTTCCTCATCGTGCTATCGTCTGACTCGCGAGGGCCATGTCTTGGAGGAGTGTCGGCGGAGCCCCCAGGCCTTCTGCACCACTCCACGCGGCTCTCCGTCTCGTCTGGTGACGACAGTTCTCCGTGGAACGGAGATCGCCGTGGGCATGTTGGATCCCTCACATTTTTCTCCACCCGACACCTGTCAGGCGAGCGCAAACATGGATCAAGGGGGCTTGGTTTAGCGACGGGTCCCGTTTCCAGGGGAAATCGCGGATTTTCGCCGCCGAGCGAGGCGGCACTTGCTGCATTTTGGGGAGGGCACCTCCCCCGATTCGTGGAGTGGGCGACCGCGCGCCAAATCCACGGATCGCTGATCCATGCATGCGCGCCCCCGAGGTTCTCGCCTGGTGATGGCAGCTCTCCGCGGAGCTGGGATCGCCCTGGGCATGCTGGATTCCCTCACTCGCCCCTTGCTCCACCCGACACTTTGGGGCTGTCAAGCTTGAGGTCGGAGCTCCCGACGTGCTCCGCGCGCGCGCTGCAGCGCATCTATATAGATATATATGTATATATATATATATATATATATATATATATATAGATATCGGCGCTGCCGGGCCCAGAGGGCGCCCGCCAGTGCCCCCTGGCTGATAGCCGGGCTCGCGCCCTCGACGAGTGGCGATACTTTAAGGGTAGCTCTTTGGGAGATGTTTTAGATAATCGGGAGTATAGCCTGCGCGTCGCTGTCTTATGGCTCAAGGCACGCGCGCCCTATTTGCCCGGATACCTGACTTGATATTCGCTATGTGTTGGGAAGACCGATGCATCGATATTTTCCTGTCTTATCCATCCACACCCCATATCGGTTCCCTTCGACATGGAATTGGATGCAATATGACCTACAAGAGTCATTTCAGACTTGGTAGCGGAGCTGGCCGCACTCTCTTGTGGTCAGCTCTTGCTCTTTTTATCCTCGCGCTACCGGGCGCGATCTTCGTGACCACTCTACCCTGCGCCACCACCCCACCAACATTTACGAGGATCAATTCAAGAGCAAGAAGCAAAACGAGAGGTACGACGCGTAGACAACAACATTGGTACCATATACGCTTCATCACTGCGCTATCACCAACCGCCCGGCAACGAGCCGAAAGCGCAGCACCTGAAGCGTAGGCGGGGAGACCCACAAGATAAAGCGCCTCGTAGACTTGACAAGGTGCCACTATCCCCGCCCCAGCGCGGCAACGCGCCCGATAACCACCCATACCTCCACAGCCTAGGGTTGGTTATCTTCGCCACTATATGGTTTGCGCTGAGAGCGGCAATCGGGCACATGCGCCGAGGAGATAATAGCACCGATGGGCAAACACATGGCCCACACTGGGACGCGATGGGTTCAGATCCCAACCGGACGCGTGAGATCCCAACCGGACGGTTCAGATCCCAACCGTCGCAAACACCAGGCACGGTCAGATCCCAACCGAGGAGGAAGCGAATAAAGCAAACAGATTGACATGTTTCCATATTTGTTCATTGCTATATGAAAATTGCGATGGACACACTACAGGAGCAGATTTTCGCCTGAGTTATTTCGGTTGGGATCTGGCGCGTCTTTTGCTGGATCGTAGTAGTGGTGGAAGTAGTAGTGGTAGTTGTAGTAGTAGTACTCGTAGTAGTAGTAGTAGTAGTAGTAGTAGTAGTAGTAGTAGTAGTAGTAGTAGTAGTAGTAGTAGTAGTAGTAGTAGTAGTGGTAGTGGTAGTAGTAGTAGTAGTAGTAGTAGTAATAGTAGTAGTAGTAGTAGTAGTAGTAGTAGTAGTAGTGGTAGTGGTAGTAGTAGTAGTAGCAGTAGTAGTAGTAGTAGTAGTAGTAGTAGGCGTCGTAGTACTAGTACCAGTAGTAGTAGTAGTAGTAGTAGTAGTAGTCGTAGTAGTAGTACTAATAGTAGTAGTAGTAGTAGCAGTAGTAGTAGTGGTCGTACTACTGGTAGTAATAGCAGTAGTAGTAGTAGTAGTAGTAGTAGTAGTAGTAGGTGGGAAGTAGTAGTAGTAGTAGTAGTAGTTGTTGTTGTTGCAGTAGTAGTAGTAGTAGTAGTAGTAGTACCAGTAGTAGTAGTAGTAGTAGTAGTAGTAGTAGTAGTAGTAGTAGTAGTATTAGTAGTAGTAGTAGTAGTTATTGTTGTTGTAGTAGTGGTGGTGGTGTTTTATAGTAGTAGTAGTAGTAGTAGTAGTCGTCGTAGACGTAGTCGGCGTAGTAGTAGTAGTAGTAGTAGTAGTAGTCGTCGTAGTAGTTGCAGTAGTGGTGGTAGTAGTAGTAGTAGTAGTAGTAGTAGTGGTAGTGGTAGTGGTAGAGGTAGTAGTAGTAGTAGTAGTAGTAGTAGTAGTCGTAGTAGCAGCAGTAGCAGTAGCATTCGTAGTATTAGTAGTAGTAGCAGTAGTAGTAGTAGTCGTCGTAGTAGTAGCAGTAGTAGTAGTAGTAAGAATAGTGGTAGTAGTGGTAGTAGTAGTATTAGTAGTAGTAGTAGTAGTAGTAGTAGTAGTAGTAGTAGGAGTAGTACTTAGTAGCAGTACTAGACATGAGAGTAATTGTAGTAGTAGTAGTAGTAGTAGCCGTAGTAGTAGTAGTAGTAGTAGTAGTAGTGAAAGTAGTAGTAGTAGTAGTAGTAGTAGTAGTAGTAGTAATAGTAATAGTAGTAGTAGCAGTAGAAGTAGTAGTAGTAACAGTAGCATTAGCGGTACTCGTAGTTGTAGTAGTAGTAGCAGTAGTAGTGGTAGTAGTAGGAGTAGGAGTAGGAGTAGGAGTAGGAGTAGGAGTAGTGGTCGTAGTAGTAATCTTACTAGTAGTAGTAGTAGTAGTAGTAGTAGTCGTACTACTAGTAGTAGTCGTAGTAGTCGTAGTACGAGTAGTAGTATTAGTAGTACTAGTAGTAGTAGTCATAGTAGTAGTAGTACCAGTTGTAGTAGTAGTACTAGTAGTAGTAATAGTAATAGTAGTAGTAGTAGTAGTAGTAGTACTAGTAGTAGTAGTAGTAGTAGTAGTAGTAGTGTAGTAGTAGTCGTAGTAGTAGTCGTCGTCGTAGTCGTAGTAGTCGTAGCAGCATTTAGTAATAGTGGTAATACTAGGAATAGTAGCAGTACTAGACATGAGAGTAATTGTAGTAGTAGTAGTAGTAGTAGTAGTAGTAGTAGTAGTGGTAGTGGTCGTAATATTGGTAAGAGTAGTAATAGTAGTGGTAGCAGTAGTGGTAGTAGTAGTAGTAGTAGTAGTAGTAGTCTTAGTAGTAGTTGTAGTAGAAGAAGTAGTAATAGTATTCGTAGTAGTCGTCGTAGTAGTAGTAGTTGCAGTACTTGTCGAGGGTGTAGTAGCATTAGTAGTGGCAGTGCCAGTACAATTCGTAGTATTAGTAGTCGTACTTGTGGAGGGTATAGTATTACAAGTAGTAGCGGTTGTCATCGTAGTAGTAGTAGTAGTAGTAGTAGTAGTAGTGGTAGTGGTAGTAGTAGCAGTAGTAGTAGTGGTGATACCAGGAATAGTAAATGTAGTACGACTAGGATTCGGAGTAGTACTTGTAGTAGTAGTAGTAGTAGTAGTAGCAGAATCTCTCAGAGGCTATAGCAGTTCAGAACCTTGCAGAAGCTTGGAGCTTTGCAAAGGCTCCAAAGTGGTTGGGATCTCACGCGTCCCACGTGCCCCTGACGGTTGGGATCTGAAC